CTTACTTGCTTCTCTGATAACTATAATCTTCAAAATTTTAAATGTAATGTCAATCGACATCTTCTGATGACTTGATCTTGATCCCTGTCCTTCTCTTTATCCTTTCTACAAACACCCCCTCTTTTCTCTTACTTTCACTCTCTGTAACCTCTTACATGCTAGCGGTACTCCTGCCTTGCTTGGGGTGAAATGCTTGAAAAAAAAACAAAAAAAAGAAATACAATGAGACCTAGTTGCCAATCTAGTAGTATGCTTAAATTCATGCAGCCAAGGTACCAAGAAGGAGAGCTGATTTGAATAACTGCCATAAAAATATTTATAGAAAAGACAGAGAAGCACTGTTACAATTGTGGTAAAGTGACTGAAGTCAAGATGCCAGTTCAGGACTGACACTTCTTTGGATTTTCTTGAGAATCTTGAGATATATAAGAGAAGCACACTGATTTGCAGAGGTTTGTTGATGCCTAGGGCCAACACCTTGATTGTATGCCCTTAAGACTCAAGTAGGGGGCTTATTCCAGTCTTGCTTATCAAAACACTGATCCACATTGATTGTGGGATGGTAAGGTGCCTGTACAACAGCAATAAAATAGACAATTTAAAATTTCAAAAACTAAATTTTTATTTCACTCTTTGATTGGATGCCCTTCTGATAGGGATGTCCAGAACCATTACACCCTCTGCACCCACTTCTGCATGCTACTGGAGAAACACCAGGTTAGACATATCAGCAATATTCAATGCATGAATGAAGGGTAGATTTATAAATCTACAAAATATATTCTGATGGGAAAAATCTTCTGGCATGACACAGCAAACTAACTTTCCCAGCCCCAGATCTAGCAATTGATTCAATATAATCATTATAATCCACTTCATGTCAGTGGGAAGCGTGAGCCCAAAAAGATGCAATGAGTTGCTCTGCTGGAGGTTAGCATCAGCGATGTTGATGGAAGACAAAAGAAGGTTCTCTATGATGAAGATAGCAGTTTCATTTTGGATGCATTCAAATTTACAAGCTATTCCTTGCTCCAGTTAACCACTGATTAAAGGTCCTTTTCAAGAGCAGTTTTATTTTGTCAGGCCACCTTTATAATTCCTCTTTCTCTTTGTAGTATTTGTTCCACCATCCATTTACACAAATTTGTGTTACCTCTTGTATTCCACTGTTTCTCTTGCTTTCAATGCACCCTGTGAATGTTAAATTCTCCAAACCATCTCTTCTTTTATCATTATGTATCCCAAACATTTCAGCTATCTCTTTTTGATAATTAGTAACAGTTTTCTTGTAGTTTCTATCCCCACTTAGAACTTCCTCTTTTGTTACATGATCTATCAATGGTATTCTCAATATTTGTCAATAGAATCATATCTTTTCTTCATTTGTGATGAAATTGTACAACTTTTACTATCATACAGGAATGTAGACTTTACACAGCACTCCAGCAATCTTTTTGTTGTTTCTGTTATTTTTTAATCTCTTGATACATTGAAAAATTTCTGAAAAAGATCCTTCATAATCCCAATAACAAATTGAATTAATGTTACTATTTACAAATATATTGCAATAATTTTTATTTGACTGGATTGTTATGGCAACAACTGAACTGGCATCCCTGAGAGAGCTCATATATAAATCCATATATAAGTCAGTGTGATGTGTATATGCATTATGAGTTGACAAACTAGATAACAGTTTGAAACATGGAAGTAGCTGACTGCCTTTGCTTTTTAGGTCAGCTGTAAAATCTGATGGAGAGATTATGCTTCTGGAAGATGACTAATAAAGAATACTGTTGAGTCATTTTTATGCACAAACTGTTGTTTTGAATTTTATTTTTATATCAAGTTGCAATGTGACTTTAGTAATATATATATATATATATATATATATATATATATATATATATATATATATAATAAAAGGCCTAAACACTAATATTCTATGGAATATTAGTGTTTAGGCCTTTTATTATATCCTTACTCTGTCCTGGACATTGAGTTCTACCTGGATTCTATCCTCTTGGAATTATTTTTTATACAAATATATATGTATGTATGTATGTATGTATGTATGTAGATTTATATATTTTAGATATATAATTGCATATGTATGTGTATATTTACCACTAATATTATCTATCTATCTATCTATCTATCTATCTATCTATATATATATATATATATATATATATATATAATATAATAAGTATAGGATTGGTGTATATGGAATAAATTCCAATAACCAAAAAATACTATTCTTAAAAGAGTGCTCAATACAGAGTAGAGCAAATATAATTATTTATTTGAAAATTATAACAGAAATATGTTATAAAATGGTACAAAAACAGCCATTTGCTTCAACAATTCAGATTCTTATCAACACCATGGTGTTGATAAGACACCAGAATTTTCAGCAAATGGCTGTTTTGTACTGATTTTATAACATATTTATGTTATAATTTTCAAATAATTATATATATATATATATATATATATATATATATATAATATGAGCCGAAAACTTAGGACCAACTTAATAAAAAAAAATATCCAAATGTTGAACAATTTTTGTCTTTATTTTCCCCAGAAATTAAAGCAAACATTTGAACATTAGAATGGCTCATGATCAGTTATAACAGAGATTCATATTTAAAATAAGCAGAGGTTAATATTTTATTTTATATTTGGAATGATTAGTGATGATGATCCACATTTCATAACAACCCACAATCTCTTGTATCCAATTCTCATCTTCTGTCAGAATCGATTTGTGAAGATATAAAATTTGAAATCCACCAAAGAAGCACAATGCATACCAAGAGACCCAATGTTATTAGCTAACAAGAGATACTTTGATCATGGCTTATGGGAGCCAAAATTGCTAATAAGTCATTGGTCAGTTAATGTTGAAACTTCTTCCGGATACTAAAATATAAAAATTAAAACAAAAAAATACTCACCCTTAATATATATATATAGATATATATATGTATATGAGTGATACTGAAAAAATATGATATATGAGGAGGTACTGAAAAAGTCCTTAGATTAACCAAGAAGTCCTTCTTGAAAAATTCTGATATTTAATCATTTAGAAGTAGATTTGACCAAGAATTTTTTCAGAATACTCTAATATTGATGTAATGGAATAACCCTACACCCCCATGAATGATTACACCATAGGTAGTAAGTACCTATAAAGTCAACTGTCTACGAGAGACTGGGAGAGGAGGAGAGTGAGAGAGAAGACGCAAGAGGTCCGACCTTCCAATTAGTGGCACTCAATCCTAGATTGACCTGTGTGTATAACTGTAGCGTATTTCATATTGTATTTGTTGTGTATGATAAACCTTTCTTCTAGTATCCTCATGGAGTTACTTATTTATTCCCTTAGCAAGGAATATAACAGTTCTGGCGAGGATTGTCGGAACATAACAGTGGCAACAAGGATGTTTGAAATGAACTCGCATTAACATAAGAAATATATATATATATATATATATATATATATATATATATATATATATATATATTATTACTTTAATTTGTTATTTTAGTTACTTTTAGGATACTGTTTATTTATTAAACAGTATATTTATACCATTTAATAAATAAACGGAATGACTACTCAAATATAAACATCCATTAAAATTACTGTTTAAAGTGATAAAGTCTGTCAGTTTAATAAATAAAATATCCATTATTTCTTCAGGCCATGTGTGTTGGATGGTTAGCTTGATTATTTATAGGCAATTATGTCTCTCCACTGATTCCTTTTCTTTATTATCTAAATTGCCATACGGGAAAGGTAACAGAGTTTGAGCTGATTGCCTTCTCTATGGTTTGAAATTCAGAGATTTCTTTCTCTTAAACTGGTTGCTATGCAAGGCTAGAGAGATTAATCTACTCTGCTATTTATATATGGGGATCAATGTAGCATTATAGGTAGCAAGTAATGTGCTGTCCATAATGCAACATAGAGCAGTATATATAAATAGATGCACTACCATTCAACACGTATGGCCTAAATATTGCATTCAAGCATAAAACACTGCTGCTAGCCAGTGTGGACTTCAGTACATGCATGCATATATATATATATATATATATATATATATATATATATATATGCATGTTTCATCAAAAACGATAGACAAAGTACTATGTTTAAGCCTTTTATTTAATTTTTCTTGTGTTTGAACAAGTGCTTTCATTTTTGGACACACTCTGAAAAAAGAAAGCACTGTCATTTTTAATAAAACATGCATAAATGAAGGATTGCTGCCTAAATAGACAATTATATATATATATATATATATATATATATATATATATATGTGTGTGTGTGTGTGTGTGTATATATATATATATATATTTATGTAGTATATCTAGGTAAGGGAATTTTTTTTATTAATATCTAATTCTATAATGTTGTTAACTGTTTTACTTTGTATAAAAATATCAGTGTATATAATTTAGAAGGCAAGAATTAGAAATAGGTGATGTTTTAAATGGTTCAGTGGCAAATTATCTCTCTATCTATCTATCTATCTATCTATCTATCTATATATATATATATATATATATATATATATATATATATGAACTGGGTGAAGAAAAAGTTTGTTTAAAACCAATCGAATTTCTTTGTTATGGGTATTTTGTTTTATTTTTTCTCTTTAGAAAAAATAAAGAAAAAATCTTTATCAAATAACTTTTGTTTGTCATTACCTGAACACACACACACACACACACACACACACACACACACACACACACACACACACACACAAGACCAAAAAGCCAAAGAAACTAATAGAAAAGAATAATTAAAATATAATTGGATTCTTTATCATTCAGTTCATAAAATAACTTCAATGGTGTTGATTTCTGTATTAAGAAGAGAATTAAGAATGGAATGAAAGCTTGTAAATTAGATAGATTTTGCTTAATTTTGCAAAATTATAAAAAAGATGACTATAAGAAAATATACTTACTTCAATTCTCCAAATATTGACATAAGGTGGACCTTCTTTAACTATTTTCGGTACAGGCCGGAATGCTACTTCCAGTGGACTTTTCAATGCTGAAATTAAGAAAATGAAAAATGATTAGAATCATGACTTTGTGGCATAAAATTCAAAATTGTTCCTTTTAAATATTCATTTTCTAGAAATGAAGAAAAAGGATTATCTTCATAGCTTTAAATAAAGTCTATGTTATAGAAATCACAGTGCATTAAATACTTTAATTTTAATAAAATATTTATTTTGTTTTAGTGCTACCTTTCATGCTTTAGGGAAAGTGAACAACCACAGATGTGAAGCTATTTCACTGCCTTTTCTTAGTTGGTAGATGTGAAACTATTTTATATAAAAGAAATAAATTTTGTGGCTGCATCAGTTATCTATGAGTTCATTAGTATTCAAGTTTCCTAACTCCTTCAACTTGAATATTATATTTTGGCAGTGCTAATTAGTTTCAATTTCTGAATGTGTAGAGTTGTTTACTTCTTTGCAGATCTGTAATTGACATTTTATTAATAAAATTTTCTAAGAAAAAAAATATAATTAATTATACATTTTTAAAATTTTTTTTCTCAATAATTATAAAATTGTTGGAATTTATTAGATGAATTTTTATTAATTATGCTAATTTTTCCTTAATTTTTTTTTCCTTTAGAACAGAAGCAATCATGGCTCTCCACATAGGTCCTTTTCTTTATTATCTGTGAATTGTGATGCATTCTTGGGAAAGAGAGTGGTGTGTTTTCTCAATACTTTCTTCATGGTTTGGAATTCAGTGTTTTTGATCTCAAAGACTGGTTTCATCCAAAGCTAGAGAGACCAGTCTACCCTGCTATTTAAGTCATGGCTAAGGAATATTTACCAAGTTTAACTTAGTATGATACAATATAAGAATATTATGTTTCATGTAAGGAAGGCTTGCACATAAGGAATGAGTTTTATTTTTTTCGACTGGTCGCTACACAAAGGTAGAGAGCCCAATCTACCCTGCTATTTAATTCATGGCTCATGGAAGAAGAGACAAATTTTACTTTACTTTACTTTTTTGTGAAAGAGAATATAGCAGATTAGCATGACAGATTAGCCTGAAATTAAACATGGCTTGTTGATTCCACTCTCAGCAATGATATAAATAACACTAACTGCATTTACATTTCTTAGCTGAATCATTGTAATGATTCATTTCTATATTTAGTTTTAGTTTTCTAGTCTGAGTTGTAGAAGTTTTACTGTTTGAGTGCCTGTTAGCACAGCACAGACCACATGTAGAATTCATGCATACAATTCATCGCTACAGATCCTGGAAAAATGGTCACTTGCCTGTACTGCCCCAATAAGTACCTGATGCCTTTTGCTATCCCTTACTTTTACAAGAGCCAGCATCAGGCTAAAACTTTTGCCATATATTGGCAGGAACAGGCCCAGTCTTGATATTTAGTATTGATAAGGTCCAAAAGCATCTCTACATCCATGTGGGTGATTAATTATTTTCCACCCTACAATCCCTTTCTCACAGATGGAACGTCGCAAGCCTCCCACTGCCCTGTTTGCATGGAAAGTGCTTAGATGAACTACATTCCTTAGTTCCACCAGTTCTCACCTTTACAACTAAACCCCACTGTGCTACAAACATTGTAGCAAACCACCTTCATTCCTTTCATATTCCATTGGTGAGATGTAAGTTACACCTGAGCAACTCCTTCCCACAAACTACTGCTTTGTGGAACCAATTCCCCAGAGGATGCTTTCTTGATCACTACAATCTTAACCTGTCGAAGTCTAAGGATAACAATTGTCTGCCTCACATAAACTATGCCTCTTATTCTGTAACCCTCTATCTCAAATGTTTTGTACAGAGTGAACATCATAGTGAAAAAAAAAAAAAAAAATTGCGAAGGTCCTGAAGAAGAAAGATCATCAGAACGATTACCACGAAAGTATTTACAGTAAAGGCACAGAGAAGCTACATTATGGTGGTTGTAAATTTCTATAGAAAGTGTTCAGATGAACTACATTCCTTAGTTCCACCAGATCTCACCTTCACAGCTAAAATCCACCATGCTATGACCATTGTAGCAAACCACCCTCATTCCTTTCATATTCCATTGGGGAGATGCAAGTTCCACTTAAACAGCTTCTTCCCACAAACTCCTGCTTGAGGTGTGAGTTGGTTGGAGCAAAGAAAAAAATTAGACATTGGTTTGGAGAGATGGACAAAGATTTATTTTCATTTACAACAAATGAAAATGTCTTTGATAAGTCGTATAGTGTAGTGTTTGAATGTATGGTGTGTGAGGTATGAAATGAGAGTGTGAAAAAGGAGTGTGCTTAATCCAGCTGACTGCTTGTTGGCTATCAGATTAGGCTTGTTACATTGATAGTGGAGTCTTTTTTTCTTTTTGTGTTCACAGGAGGTTGTTTTCACAGCCTAATGATTGGACAGGCTGTCAGACATGCTCTTGAGTGGCCTCCATAGTTAGTGTGTGTGTGAAGTCTCTCTCTCTCTGATCTCTCTTGTCCAGCTTCTCTTATAGCCCATATAAGAGAAACATATGGATGTAGTTGTAGACAACTGTGGCCATCAAGAGTGGTGTCAATAATGGCCAACATTCTGTTATATTTGTGTTTGTTTTAAAATCTGTTTTGAGTAGAGTGCGGCATGTGTGAGACTTAGCTAGTTGAAAATTGGTGTGTAGTCAGAGATATAGGTTTTCTAATAATTGTATAAAATTGGCTTTAATTTGTCATCTCTATGTGTAAATTGAATTTTTCTGCTACAAACTGACTCTTAAGAGAATTTTCCCTGATCACTACAATCTTAACCTGTCTAAGATTAACTGTTATCTTCCCCACATATCTGCATAAAATGTACCTCTTACTACTGCTAATGACCCTTAAGCCTTCTACGGGGTGAACCACATTATAATAAAAAAAAGAAAAAGGTGATGTAACAGTCTTAAATTGCTTGAATGTCTTAGATGATTTGTCATTAGTATTAATGTTCCACTGTCTTTCATTTTATTTTTTGTTATCTGAGTAATTGTAGAGGCAATAGTTTTAAGTAGTTCAAATTTCTTAGGTGAAAAATGACCATTCTTATTAAATTTTGACTATTTTTTCCTATCTCATACTTGTTGATTTTTATCATAGCACTCATTTCATTTTATATTTGATGACCATCAAGTAAGCAGATTTAATCAGATTGATTCAACTGTTTTATATTCTGATCAATGCAACTTTTTTTTTAATCAAATTTACCTCAAGCCAGGCAGTAAAGCCCCTAAGACACAACAGGTTATTGGGTGTGAAAGAATTAGAAAGCAGAAACATTATGAAGGAGCAAGAACAATAGATAATTATTCAGGAAAACAGTAGATAATAACTGACATTGCAAACATTGCAAAGAAGCAAAATGATATAGATTCTGTCGAGGGAGTGATAGCCATGTATTGTTTTATCAGCCTCAAGGTGGTGACAACTCTAACTATAAAAACACAAATATACACACACACAGATTTATAGAAAAAACAATAACAGCTATTTATTTGGTGGAACACTGACACTGTGTTAAAGAAAAAGGATGAGTTTCAGTTAGAGTAGATAGTTCATTATGGGAACGGCAAGCGCTAGTTATAAATCACATGTGTAAACTTTTTAGGAGTGTATTTGGTTTTTGTATGCAAAGTTTGTACTTACAAATAAATTCAACTATCAATTGGTGGTGTGTTAGTTCTCATGTCAAATTCCTCATCTGGGAGTAGTAAGTGAAATGTTACAGCAGTGATGAGTAGTAAGTGAAATTTTACAGCCTTGATGTGCAGATGTGCTGTTACTGGTCTGACAATGTGGTTGCTTCTCCTCTGCCGTTATACCACTCTCTGTTTAGATGCTGATTCTCCTTTGCTTATATCAGTAATGATAGGCTCTACTGAGACACAATTTTAGATTTTTGTTCTTCTGTTTAATTTGCCAAAATTGAATTCTTAATTACAATTTGTTGGTTTTGTTATTTTACTGAAACTACATCCACATGTTATTTATATTATAGCATTTAAATGATTAAGTTAACTAATGATTTAATCCTGACTACATCTGTCCATACATAGGAAAATATCTTTTAGGTTTTTTGGAAGTGCAACAATTCTACAAGTTAGAAATTAGGATTGGTTAAGCATCTCACTTTGCAGGGTTTTCTTACATACATGTAATCTGGTGTTTGCTTCACTAGGTCAACTAGTGATGTATTAACAGTTATTTCTGAGTCTCTCAAACTTTAAATAAGAAGAGTAAAGTTCAAGATGTTGCTTTGGACATCTCAGAGGCATTTGACAGTGTTTTGCATGCTGGTTTTCTTCACAAATTGAAAGGTTATGATATTTCTGGATGAATTTTTAATTTAGTACCATTTTATTTTTATCAAATTTTTTACATTAATGCAAGCGCTCCCCATGGCTCTATTCTTGGACCAACTTTGTTCTATATTTTCATCAACAGCATTCTTGATGTCATCAGTTCTCGACTCGGTATCTCTGCTGATGACACAATGATTCACTCCTGCTTTCATAGTAAGTTTGATAAATTAAATTAAATGAAATTGGCAGCTGATCTCAAAAACAACCTTCAATCTTTTGTTAACTGGGACAAGAAATGGTTTGTAAATTTTAATGCCTCCACAATTAAACTGCTCTTTATTAATCATCTTAAAAACCTTTTTTGCCTTCCATCAGCATGACTGATGCTAACCTCCAAGAATCAACTCACCTCATTTTTTGGTCTCACATTTTTCACTCACATAAAATGGAGTGATTATATTGAATCAGTCCCTAAGTCTGCCAATAGGAAAGTCAATTCATTTTGTTGCGCTGGATAGTTTTTCTTGCTATAATATGTCTTACCCCTTTATAAGTGTACCATTTTTCCATGCTTTGAAGGTTGCTGCTTCTGGTATGTATTTAGTGATTCTTGATAAAATTTAAAGAAGAATCTACAATGTTATTGGTCCTAACCTGGCATCTCATCGTCAGTCACCTTCCTGGTACCTTTTCTATAAATATTTTTGAGGTAATTGTTCTGATGAGCTTTCATCTTTGGTACTTTGACTTGACAAACTTAAGCACACTACTAGATTTTCATCTAGGTCTCATCATTATAAAGTTGAGATTACTAAATGTAACCATATTTTCTATACTAACAGTTTCTTCTCTCACATTTCTCACTTGTGGAACTCTTTTCTGGCTTCTTGCTTTCCTTTGACTTGTCTCTTTAATTCTTGTTCTCTTATTGGCTACTCTCCTTAATAATGTTTTTTTTCTCAGATTCTTTCATATTCAGTAGCCACTTTGTCATAGTAGATTTATTGCCTTATTTAGGGTGAAATAATTAAAAAAAGTTACAGAATGTAAAATAAACACCTTTACATTGCGAATAGAAGCAATAAAAATAAAATGAAAGGAAAGTAAGTCATTAATAATAATAATAATAATAATAATAATAATAATAATAATAACAATGTTAAGAAATTTGAACAATGTAAGCAGAGTATTATGTCTGTTACTAAACAACAAGATACATTGAAAGAAAACAACAAAGATACATTGAAAGAAAAAATGTTTGAAAATTATTAAAATGTTAGCGCAACATTGATTTTGTAATGGACGGACTGCAAGGGAAAAAACTTCAGAGATGTATCAGTTAACATGCAGATCTTACAAGTTGAATGTTTGGAATTGGGTGCTTTGTAAATATCATTGTATCTACCAAACTTGAACAAATATCAACAAAATATTTTAAAGTACTTGAAAGTACTTCAGTCCTTTCTCACTTTCTGGTTTGAGACATTATGTTAAGATATATTAACTATCCAGAAGTTGGTAAATATATAGTGTTGCATTGTTTATAAATGAGCTTTCATTTTAAAACTGAAGTTATTACTTGGTACTGGAAAGCAGGAATAAAGGTGGGAAGTGAAAAGGAGAGAATAAAGTAAAGGGAATTTTTCCAATTTTTAACCTCCTGAAACATTACTATATGATCAATTCATTTATTATTGGAATTTTGAAAATAAACAGAAGAAAATATTTTTCCTTTTCAGTTTTAAAAGTTCCAACTTCTTCCTGGTTTTTTAAACAAAAGTAGAGATTTGTCCCTTGTTCCCTGTTTTGGATAGGGTTTCCAGTTCCTTTGAAAGTCTATTCACTCTTGTTTTCCTGATCACAACAATCTTGACCTCTTCAAATCTAGAGTTAACCATTATCTTTCATGCATAGCTCCATGAACTTATCTTTTTGCCCTTTCTTATACTCAAGCAACAGCACACAGTAAACCTCTACCTTGAGTGACTCTTGGGCCTTGTATTGGATGAACATCAATAAAAAAGGACAAATTGGTGTTATTATTGTTTATAACAGTATCAATAATGTTGGTTATGATTATGATGATTGTAAGCACTTCTGGTCCCACTACAGAATGCTGGGAGAAAATTGGATCAAGTAGCAGTTTGAATAAAATAGTTGTTAAGTTTACCATGTCTTTGTGTTGCTTCAACTTTTCAGTGGCCAGTCTCATATAATTCATATTTCCACCCTAATCCCAGTGGAAGAATTATAACTTTATTATTAATTTTGCCATGTATTTACTTTCAGCTTCAGTTTTTAGTTGCATTTTATCACAACTTTAAGCAGGCCATCAATTTATGACAGTAAATAAAGTGTGAAGGATTAGAAATAAAAAAATATACTCTGATTGAGATTCAAGACCAAAGGACATGAATTTGAATTTTCAAAAGAGAATAATAATTTCTGATCCTGCACAATTTACACACAGTCATCAAATTGATAACTGAAGTGAAATTGTAATAAAAAAAGCAACTAAAAAATTAAGGTGTAAGAGAATATTCATCAAAATTAATAATAATATGTGACAATACTTATAAAAATTAAAAATAATACCACTGCTATTGATACTATTTGTATAAAAACAAAAACAATAATTACACTGAAAGAGATCATAGAGTAGTGTGACATTATGGGTTAAATTTGTTCTTTTGTAAAGCTTTCAAATTATTGTAGCTTAGTGGGTAAAGCAGGTGGGGATCTATCAAATTCCCCTAAGGCAAAAAAAGTTCAAATCTCTTTGATATCCTTTATTTTTAATCTGTTCTATCTGCTCACAGCTAGAACCCAAGTAAAGTTGCAATATAAATAAAGCAAAAAAATGATGAAAGTAAACATTAATCAAAAATGATTGACAAGGCTTCATTTAATATAAATGAATATGAAAATAAATTACTTGTTGAAATTAATAATAGTGGCTGACATTGATTCATCAAATAAAAAAAAATGAAGTTGAAAATACTAGTTAAAATTGATAATAATGGCTGACAAAATCTAATAACAAAATGAAGATGAAAGTAAATACTGGTTGAAATTAATAATAATGGCTGACAATGCTTTATCTAATAAAAAATGAAGATAATTCAGCTGAAGTTCTATTTTGAAAGAAAAATATGTCATTTAAAGGATGGCAGACATCTGGATTTGATTTCCAGTAAGACTTTTAGTTTATTCCCAAGCTTTGCAATTATTATAGCAATTTTATTATTTCTGGATTCATAATGTAATATTATGTTTAGAGTCTCATGTTAAATATTAATTTATGTAGAATGTGCGATGCACAAATTGTCATCCAAAATTATGCCAAAAAATAACACTGACATCTCATTTTAACATATATATTAACCAAAATTTAAACAAAAATATCTTGAAATGCTAAAGAATAAATCTATTTAATAAAATCATCATTGGCTTTAACCACAACCTCCAGATGACTTTGGAATCTCCTTCAACTCTTTTGAACTGTTTCCTTCTTTAAGTTGGTGAATGCTGCCATAATCCTTGCCTTCAGTTCATCTTTGGTGTTACAAGGAGTTTTGTTGGTCTCTCACTCAATTGCACCCCATACATAATAATCAAGGTGGGGAGTTGCAGTCTGGGGAGTTAGATGACCAGATGTAAAGAGTGATGTGGTTATAGAAATTCTCTGACAGCCATGACTGTGTTCTGCTGCTTTTGTGGCATGATGCAGAGTCCTGTTGACAGACATAGGGTCTTCCAGCAGCCACACTCTTGACCCAGGGCAGCACTACCTCCTTAAGGCACTTGATGTAGGCATCTGTGATGAGTCTGAGGCACTGTGAGATGAATGGAGGTATAATGTTGGCAACACTAGTGATCGCTCCAAACACTTTTGTAATCATGATTAGACCCATCCAGCTCATTCCAAATCATCTGCACTGTCGTCAGATTGACACACAAATACTTTGAAATGTTTTTATTGGAGCTTTCAATTTGAATGCCAAGCAATACAGCATGTCATTTCCAACTGAGACTACTATACTGTGTAGTCAACAAAATCAAAAACAAAGAAAGTACTTTTGTGAAATTAGAATTATAAATATAAATTATGAATATATATATATATATATATATATATATATATATATATAATATATATTATATATAATATACATATATATATAATGTATATAATATATTATATAAATATATATATGTATTATATATATAATATATATATATATATTGATATGTGCCGGAAAGGGATATATTTGAACGAAGTAGCTAAGTGGTTTTGGCTACTATACCCAAGTAGAATATGGTAGCAGTAATTGACTGGTATGTGTTGTAGTCACAGGTAAGAAGTGTAGATCAATGGCATAGTCCAATGGGCATCGTTATAGACTTAGCTCTCAGACTAAGGCTCTTTGACTCTGTCGTACCTACACGTCCATCAGTATTTATGACGGACACCAGCCAATCATATACCAGTGAGAGGGAACACAGGTGTATGCATATTCCATTGTATCATATATAAATATATATAAATTATAAAAATATGAATATAAGTTATAAATATAAATAAAAAATATAAAATGGCGACAATTTACCCATCGCACCCTTTATTTGATCCTCAGTAGGTGCCGCACAAATATGACAGACAAAGCAAAACCTGGTATAAAGTATATAATTTCTTTTGTATATTTTTTTGGTATTGCTTTTATTGTTTAATTATTTTCTAATTTATTTTTGACAATGGCAGTTATCAACTTTCATTAACTCTTTGTTTTTTCCTTCAACTGGACAAAATAGATTAATAAAACATTCAGTGAGGAATAAAGTCACTACTAATAACACCTATTATTGTTTGCTCTGTGATAAGTGTTCTCTTTTGTATCTGATCAAACAAATAGAACTCATTTTGTTAAAAACAAAAGAAAAATTACTTACATTTAGAAGAGTTATTCATTTGTTTAAAATGCAGCTTTAAATGATTCAGGAAAAGAAGCAAGTTCTTTGCTTTAAAATTAGCGAAAGAAATCTTCAAAACATTTGAAGACATCTGTTGCCAAGTAAAGGTCATGTGATCTTAAGTAGGGAAAAGTTTATGTGGGCATGTAGATTTATATGCATAGATACTGGTATCTACATTAATAAGTATCTTGACGTTTGTGCGAACATGTCTATTGATTCTGCTTACATTTCTTTGTGTATGTGCATGATCTTTTTTCATAGTTGTTACATGTAAATGAAAATATGCATGCTTCGATTTTGTTTTTAAATATTTTACTGCAAGTTAGGTGATAAAGCTACTAAGATGCAAGGAGTGTGAAAGGAACAGAGAGAGAGAGAGAGAGAGAGAGAGAGAGCAATAAAAAAAACAAGATTCAAAGAGACAGATGATAATGATTGGCATTGCATTTAAATTTTTGAAGTTCATTGTTGACAGAAAAGCAGAAAGCTAGAAGAGAATTCCACAAGCGAGAAATACAAGCGAGAAATATTAGCATAGCGCTTACAGTTATGTCAAGCAATTTCAACAGTGAAATTATGTCACATAACACTGCAGTTAAATTTACGAATTGAAGATACTAAAGAGGAACAAATATCACACAAATATTTATAGAAAAGGCACAGGGAAGTTACATTACAGTGTTGAGAAAGTAACTGAAGCCAAGATGCCAGGTCAGGACTGATAACATTGTAGATTCTTCTTTGGATTTTATCAAGAATCTCTACATATATTGCAGAGTCACTAGCTCAGATGTTGCAACAATATTTGATGCATGGATGAATGGCAACTTATAAATATGCATGATAGATTCTTTCAAGAAAAATTGTCTAGTATGATATAGTGAACTGACTTTATTAACATCAGATTTAACAACTGGTTCAATATAATCACACTATTTCATGTCAGTGGAAAATGTGAGACCAAGGCAAAGTGAGGTGCTTTCCTGAAGGTTAGCATTAGTCATGATTATGGAAGCTAAAAAAAAAAACTTCTTTAAAATGATTAATAGAGAGCAATTTTATTTTAGAGGTGTTAAAATTTACAAGCCATTTGTTACCCCAGTTAACAACAGATTGAAGATAATTCCCAAGATCATCTGCCAGTTTGATTTTATCAAACCTATCAGACTTAATATCAATACAGGAATGAATAGTTGTGTCATCAGCATAGATACTGAGTCTGGAATTGATGACATCAGAACGATCAATGATGAAAATAAGGAACAAAGTACTTCCAAGAATAGATCCCTGGGTGGCATGATGCTGATGTGCATTAGTTTGCATATATGTATGCAGGACTACCTTCCCTAAAAGTTTATAGATATTTTGGTGGGTGAAATGTGAATATGGATGTTTTAGCGGCTTTAGAGTGATGATAATATAACTACTTATGACCCATGAAAAAAATCACAGATATATTTGAATATTTGAATGTTTATGAGATGTGGTTATATAGAAAAGAAACTAAACATTGTTTTTGATTTTGAGAAGAGTCATTAAAACTCTTTTGACGCTTAAATCTATTTTTTAATAGTCCCAAAAATATTGAATACAAGAAATGAAACATATTTAAATGTATTCATATATTAGTAACATTAAGTATATATTATAATTTTTTTTATTTTTTAAATTTCTTAAATTCTCTTTTGTTTGATTCCATGACTAGCTTCAAAATATGATGAGCAGTGGCATAGCTAGGGGGTGGGAGGCGAGGGCTGCCAGCACAGGAGGGGTGACACAATGTCACCCCAACAAAATTTTTCAACCAGGCTAAGGTGCCAAAAATAGTCTGAAAGACACAGGGTTTCGCAGGCGGGCAAATGACCCCCCCCCCCGAAATAATTTATGACCCCCCGTTTTGTCCCCCCCCCCGTCAGAAATTTTCTAATAAATTGTCGGGAAATTTGTGAGTAGGGAAAATAGCAATGTTTTCAGTTTTCATGTGTTTCAGTTGCTACAATCTTGGTTACTAACAAGAGACATTGTTGTAACTTTTTATCGGATGATATGGTGTTTTAACTCTGCATCATTAATAACAACAAAGCGAAATACAAAGCCAAAAGTGCAACAATTCCAGTCTTGCCTATGTATATAATTTTCCATTGAGTGAGCGATATACTTCTGAATATATCTGCTAGTGTTGTGACGATTAATCGGAATCGGAATCGAGAATCAGAAAAATCAGAACTTTTTGGGGTATCGGAAACGGTATCGGAATCGGAAAAATTTGTGCCTATTTTTCGATTCCAAAAACGATTCTTTTAAATTTTTAACTTAATTTTCCATTATTGGTACTAATGATAAATATTTATTGTTTTTAAATTATCACTAAAACTAAAATCATAATAACATCAAAATACGATGTAAATTTATTTTACTTGTATAAAGAAAAACAAAAAATAAACTTTGCATAAATTCTCTAGGTAACCTTTAAAAGAATGCAGTTGATTTACAATGTTCCGAAAAATGCTTAAAAATTAAATAGCACATTTTTGTCAAGAAAAATACTTTCAAACATAATTGATAATTAAATGGTACCCAGAAAATGATGCAACGGAAAATTGGACACCTGAAAATTAACAACAGAAAATTACGTCAACCATGAGACAGTCGAGACTGTCGGATCTGGCTGTGCTGTCCATCTAAAACAAGCTTACAAGACAAACAGATTTTGACGATGTCATTGTCCAGTTTGTCACAATGAAAACAAGAAAACATTCATTCTAAGACCATAATATCTAATGTCATTCTTTTGTGTATTGCCGTGTTTTGTAGTTAGTTGTTCTGAAAGTGAACAGTTGCATTTTAAAAATCTTTTGATTTGAACTGATTATTTTGTGGTATTGGATTTTGTCTTGGATCATACATGTAAACAGTAATGTACCGGTCAGTAGAGTAAAGTAGAGGTAGAGCATGTATGAAAATTTAGCTACAGCTAACCATTCCGCATAGGATGAATCGGGTCATTGGGGTGACATTTGAGCGGACCGCCCCGGGTGACGTTTACTTTAGCTACGCCACTGATAATGAGCATGCTTTGTTCTACCAAAACAATGGCTTTTCTTGTTATTCATTCAGAACTGAATTGTTAATATTAAGTTGTTAATAATTGCACAGTAATGGGTGAGTCTATTGTTACAGACAGAGAACACTAAGAAGTACTGTTCATTATTACAAACAATATACAAAAGGGTGTTGATTTTTATTTATAATGTCTCCCTACCTCAAGGACCTCCCAAACTTATAAATACAAAGTATTAAAGGAAATGAAAAGAGAGGTGCCAAAATATGCTTAGCATTTTTATTAATTATAACTATGCAAAACGACAATAAAACACGAAATAAACTTTGTGCTTACAATAGGTGATGGTTACACTCTCAAAGATTATTACCTTTAAGTTAACGTGAGGTTGTGGGAGAATGAAAGTAAACTAGTAAATAAAATAATAATAAAAAAATAAAAAATTTAATTTTCCCATAATGTAAAAGGAAACCAACAAGGGTTTCTGTCTTGTGTGAATTTTACGACCCCACTTCCTGGAAAAGAGATGATCATTCTCTTCTCACTTCCCACCCATTGAGTTCAGACATGTTTGGTAGCCATCCCAATAAAAGAGAGATTCAGTCACCCTCACTCAATGTCAGGCTAATTTGAGGTCGACCATTCTCTATACCTCCATATCTTGTACCTATGTGCATCAATGAACATTGGCTAATCATTTTCTAATCAAGTCTTTGTTTTGTTTATTGCAGTTCACCAACATTCAACTTCTGTTAGCAACACAAAGTCAAATACTAACTCTCACAAGGTTGTCAGCTACCATCTAGGAATATCTTTTGTTCCCTATTGTTGTGAATATGGATGTTGGTTATAACATATCTTGTTCCAATCCTTTCTCAGGTTCAGACTAATTCTCTAACTGTGTGAAGGGCATTAATTCACCTCAGTTTGTCTGCTCATTAGTCAAGGGGTTCTATTTAAAACCCTACCAGGGTAAATAGCTAAAACTGTAAGTATAACAAAATAGGTGTTTCTCCCAAACTCAATACACCTCAATAATAATCTATGAGACTAGCTTGTTAATCATCACTTTATGGCAACTGTTCAAGAGATTTACTAAGCTTACTTTAGTCTGTAACAAAGTCACAATAGTAGGTCACCTAATAAGGATCAAACTCCTTTGCAGTTGCCTAGGAGATTAGTTTGCTATCATCTACTCTACTACACTTTATTTGTTTTTTCCTTCTTTTTTTACAATCAATTCACCCCAAACAAGGCGATAATGCCACTAAGATGCGAGGGTCTACTGGGAGTGAAATAGAAGGAAAAGACTTAACTGGAAACCAACCCTAAACCGGAAACAAGGGATAAACCTCTACTTCTGTATCAAAATTAGGATAGACAGAAAAGAAAAACAATGGCAAATATAATCGAAGTAGCAGACATTTAATGTTTTCAAATAATTATTATTGCAAAATATTTTTATGTGTATCCAAAGTAAAGCAGTATACAAAGTACAGAATTGGTCAATTGTGTTTAAACTCTAGCTCAGTGCTTCTCAACCTTTATCAGCCCATGGACCATTTTTTCTTCAAAAAATTAAAATGGACAACTCCTACTTTTACTTTTAGCCTGTTCACTTCTCACACTTAAATACTCAATGAAAAGATAAAGTAGTTTATTTACATTTTAAAATTCATTTTAGTAAACAAGGATAAACACAGGATATCAAAATCAATTTTGATGATGTCATTCAGTCTTAGTCCATTCAGCTAGTGACTACCTTGATCTTGGTGTTTCTGACACAAGATATCATAATCATAATAAATATAGCACTGCATAATACCTACGTAATTTCAAAATTTTCAAATATAATGGACATGTGTATAATTAAACAAAATATATTTTTTAATTCTTCAAATTATGAATAATTAAGATACATTTTTGTGAAATGGCTACAATTTTTTATGGCTACAAATTCTCTGTGGACCACTGGAAATATTATGTGGAACAGTGAGAAACACTGTTCTAGCTGGTGTAGTAGGTTG